ATGAAACCGGAGCACCCGGAGGAAACTCACACAGACATGGGGAGAATGTGCAAACTCCACACAGACAGTCACATGAGAGTGGAATCGAACCCGGGTCCCTGGCGCTGTGAGGCAGCAGTGCTAACCCGTGAGCCACCGTACCGTAGTAAGGGGACCAAGGGTTACAAGGAGAAGGCAGAAGAATGAGGATGAGAAACATATCAGCCATGATCGAATGGCTCGATGGGCCAAAAGGCCTAATTCTGCTCCTATATCTTGTAGTGTTATGGACTCTGAGTTTTTTTTTTATTCGCTTGTGGGACTTACTGGGCAGCATTTATTTCCTGTCCCTAGTGGGAACATGAGTGACCAAAAGCTTGATCAAACAGATAGGTTTGAAGAAGAATCTCAGTGGTTGGTTTGCTCAGTTGTCTGTATTGGTTTGTAAAACAGAGTCATGCCAACATCGTGGGTTCAAATTTCCGCACCAGCTGAGATTACCAAGTGGATCTCTCCTTCTCAGTGTCTCCCCTGGCCTGAGACATGGTGACCCTCAGGCTGAACCACCACCAGCCTTTTCTCTCTGATGAAAGAGAAGGCCTCTGGTCCTCTGGGACAATGGTGACCTTACTTTACATAGAAGCATAGAAAATAGGGACATTCAGCCCTTGCAACCTGCTCCACCATTCAATACGATCATGGCTGATCATCCAACTCAGAACCCTGTGCTTTCTCCCTGTACCCTTTATCCCTAAGAACTATATCTAACTTCTTCTTGAACACACTCAATGTTGTGACCTCAACCATTTTGAGTGGCAGAGAATTCCAAAGGCTCGCCGCTCTCTGAATGAAGAAATTTCTCCTCATCTCAGTCCTAAATGGCCTATTCTGTATCCCTTAGACCAAGACCCCTGGTTCTGGACTCCCCAGTTATTGGGAAAGAGGAGACTGAGATAGTCAGAGGGCTCGTGAAACTCAGAGAAGGCAATGCAATATCCGAGGACCGTGGCAGTTAAGTGCAAGGCCACTGTGAGGCAGTAGGGTTATCAACTCTGCAGTGTTTAGCCCATAGTGTCTAGCAATGCAGGGCTAATGTGCAGGAATACCACTAGGGGCAACTGCTGTGGAGGAAGGAAAGAAGTAATAGGGTGGAATTTTGCTTCAGGGAGGGATAACAGGAACCGGGACTGTTTCCAGGTCACAAAACCATTTCGTGGGAAAGTTTTACATTGACTCAGGCACACCATGAATTTGGATACAGTCAGGTTTCCTGTCTAATGTGCACTTGAGGATGGACCAGGGAAGAGGGAAGGACTGAGATGCTTTCCAACTTGAGAGACACGTCCAATGACAATGAGGAGTGGACATGTGAAAGTTGGCCTCTTGGGCACATTTATTTCAACTTAAATAAAATAAATCACGGAATTTGGCAGCGATGACTACCACAGTATAGAGAGAATGTGTTGGATGCCGGCCTCCAGGCAGTTAGACCATGCCCTATCATATGGGCAAATTGGTGGGTCAACTGCAAATCCCTGACCAATAAGGTTCTTCAGTGCCTTAATTACAGCCCTCTTTTATCAGGTCTAAAGCTCTCATTGTGGCACAATTGTAGTGTCCCTACATTTGGACCAGAAGGCTTGGGTTCAAATCCCACCTGCTCAGCTGTGTAATGACATCTCTGAGAAAGGTTGATATAGAAAATGTTTGCATTTTACCACATCTCAAACTCACATGAGGGGCCTTGTAGTAACGTCCCTAACCTCAGAGCTAGGAAGCCTGGTTTCAATTCCTAGCTGCTCCAGAGATGTGTCATAAGAAACCTGAACAAATTAATTAAAAGATTTCTACAGTAGGTTTTCCCAAAAAGACCAGCAGGAGGTCTCCTGGAATCTCTCCTGTTACCTGCATCTAATTCTGCCCATGTTTACTGTATTCAATTCTGCTTAAAGTCCCCAAATTAGCTCACCAGGCCTCCATCGCACGTTAGGGCTCTTGTAACACAGAAGTAGTCTCCCCACCTCTGAGACAGGAGACCCAAGTTCAAGTCCCACGTGCTCCAGAGATTTGTGATACCATCTCTAAACTGGTTGATAAGAAAATATCTCAAACTCACAGATGTCAAGATAGCTGGTGCCAGAAATGGGTGCAGGAAGATAGCCAGGTCCCATCAGATAGCGCTCCCAAGCTCAATGGGGCCTGCAAATTCAGTCCACACGGGCAATAAAAAGAACCATCTGCCTAAGAATCATCCTTGAACAGATGTTTATTGGTTCAGAAAATGTTATACATGGAGGAGCAATGATTGCAGTTTGGCCAACAGCCTGTTAAGTCATGAAGTGTCTTGTCTGTTTTCTGATTGGCCATGGGGTGAAAGGCATCACGTAGCTGACCTGTTGGATGGCCAATGGAACAGGGTTGGGATGGAAGTGAGGGGAAAGGAGGCCTAAGGAAACCATGTCCAGAAACCTGCACGCAATATATTTCCAACTGGAAATGGTATTCCTGAAAGTAAAGGATGTACGAGAGGATAGAGATGCATATTGAAGGTGCAGTTGGTTACAGACATGAGAAGGGGGATGATCAGGGAAAGGTTTAAGAAGAGAATCTGAGGAACAGGAAGAGGACATTCATCCCTCAAGTCTGTCCTGCTAATTATTTATATCAACTCTGATCAGCGCACAATTGCTCAGTAATTAGCACTGCTGCTTCACAGCACCAGGATCCCAGGTTTGATTCCACTCTTGGGCAACTGTCTGTGTGGAGTTTGCACATTCTCCCCATGTCTGTGTGGGTTTCCTCCAGGTGCTCTGGTTTCCTCCCACAGTCCAAAGATGTGCAGGTTAGGTGGATTGGCCATGCTAATTTACCCCCATAGGGTCCAGGGACGTGTAGATTAGGTGGGTTATGGTGGATGGCTCTGGGTGGCATGCTCTAAGGGTCGGTATGGACTTGTTGGGCCAAAGGGCCTGTTTCCACACTGTAGGAATTCTATGAGTAACTTAATTCCACTCATCTGCTTTATGTTCATAACCATTCATTTCTCGCTGCCTAATAATCTGTTTTTTAAGTTTACTATTGACCCCCAGACTCAACAACATTTGGGTAGAAGGAAAGAATGTGCCCAATTTAGAACATTTTTCTGTGAAGGACATAACCTTTCAGAGATAGTAAGAACTGCCGATGCTGAAGTCTGAGATAACGCAGTGTGGAGCCGGAAGAACACAGCAGATAAGACAGCATCAGAGGAGCAGGAAAGCTGATGTTTCGGGTCAGGGCCCTTCTTCAGAAAGTTTCCTTGTTTTTCCTTGGAGCAGAGGAGAGCAGGGTGCGACGTGATTGAGGATGTATAAAATTATGAGGCACATTGGCAGGGTAGACAGGAACAAACTTTTCCCCTTGGTGGAGGGATCAGTGAATGGGGTGGTGGTGCTAGGGTGGGGATGTGTGAGGGATGGGAGCGTAGATTTAAGGTATGGGGCAGGAAGTTCACAGGGAATGTGAGGAAACATTCTCTCCTGGGAGGCTGGAAATTTGGAACTCACTGCCTGTGAGGGTGGTAGAGGCAGAAACCCTCATAACAT